TTATCAATAGAAAATGTGCAAGCCCGAGCCTGAGCCCGAGCCCAACCTGACCATCGGGCCTAGATCTTGAGCCTGAAGCCCGATCTGTACACAAAATGTATTATTTTTAATATACTTTTATAAACTAATATTATATTAATTTAGTAATAATTTAAGAAGCATATATAGATATATATTATATTTATTATATATAACATAAGTACTTTTTCATATATGTAATAGTATTGGGCTGGGCTCGGGCTCGAGCCTAGCTTATTTGATAAAGCCCAAGCTCGAGCACACGCGCTTGAAATTTTGTCCAAGCCTAAAAAATAACGGGTCAGGCCAGGCTGCACTAGTTAGGCTACTCGACCCACGAATAGGTTTAACTATATATATAAACAATTATATAGATAAAAAATCATATGAAATAAAGATTTAAACATTTTTTCAATTTTTTCTTAAATGGACCTCTAATAGCTTGGCCCGGTCCGCTGCCTGGCCTGGCCTGGCCCAAGGCTCGACCCATGGCACAGCATGCGACCGTGTAGGCTCAGGCCATGGGCCATGCCAAATCGACCCTCCAAATTATCACAGGGCAAGGAGGCACAACCCGGGATGCCCCGTGGGACAGCTCGGCACAACGAGTCGTGCCATGCCGACCCAGCACTACCCGATTTACACCTCTACTTCATGAGGAGTGGGGTGCCTTGCCCCTAAACTCACCCAACATTGAGGAGTGGTTGCCTTGCCTTAAACCCACCTAACACTAGGGACGGGGTGGGGATGGGGTAGAGTGTTTTGATTATGATGCAGGTGATAAGCCTGTATTTGTACATATTTTCATATCTCTAACTTGATGATTTTGGCAATAATGTTTTTGGAATTAGCATGGTCTTGCACTAATTATGAAGAAATTGTCTTCCAAGATCGTTTGGAGCTTAATTGTGCAATTTTAAGGAGGAGTTTGATTTAATTGATCAAGACAATCATAGAGGAAGGACCATGCAGCAATGATGCTCCATGATGTAGCCATGAATGAGAGAATTCATTGAAATCGGATTTGATATGTATGCACAAAAATCGGGAAATTTCCTGTTTTGATATAGTTCCCGAATTTTGTGCATAACTTTCTGCCTACAACTCGGATTGAGGTGATTCAAATGGATAATTAAAGCTAAGAGATAGAGCTACAACACTTGTGTTTATCACTCAACCAAATTCCGCCGCCAACCAAGTGAAATTCGAGCTACAAGTTTCGGGTCTGGCAGTTGGCAGTGCAGAAGAGATAGGAATTCAATTGAAATAAAGAYTAAGAGACCTAATTTGTGTTGAATTAGGAGTCTACATTGAGAAGCAATTGAGGAGAGGCTGAATTATAAAAATGACCATAGAATCAGGGCAAGGGGGCACATCTTTAGAGAGAATTCAGCAGAGAAGAGAAGAGGAAGCAGTCTCAACACATCAGAAGAGAAGAGGAAGCAATTTCAGCATGGCAGAGAAGGAGAGGAAGAATCCAAATTCAAGAGGGAGAAAGGCTTAGTTGCTACACTTGTCTTCTACCTTCAAATGCTAAAGCTTTTTTGTTATTCTATTCATTCTTTATTGTGTTTTTGCTATGTTTCCCCTTTAATTTTCTTGAGTATGTTGAATTTAATGATGYCTAGCTAAATTCTCTTAGCTAGGGTTTAGATGGATTTTGATCTTAAGATTATATAGTTATTTGTTTAATTCAATTCAAGACCTTTATTATTTGCATGATGAATTTTTATTTCTATGCTTAATGCTTTAAAAGAATTGGCCAATCTTTTAATGATTTGATGATTCATGCATGACTTACCAAAGGATTGTTATGAATTAGATCCCTAAGCAATAAAAATCGCATGATAGACTATGATATCGAAAGATGATTAGCTCATGTGTGGGAATCAAGGAACCTTAGTGAGTCAAATCCCCTTCTACGATTAAAGGTTTCCAAAGAAATTAATGCTTATTTTTCCTTTTGACAACCACTTAGAAATTTGATGGTAGAATTTGATTAATAAAAGATTAATATGACTTGAGAAAGTTTATTAATTAATTTAGGGATATCCACCATCACATGCAAATAACTTTAATATACCTTAGGGTAATTTCGGTCTTGAGTTGGATTAAATAGGTAATTATGTAGCATCGATTTAATGAAATCTAAACCCTAGTTGCATTCATCCATCAATTCAGTTTTTATTACGTTCTTGGATTTGCATTTATTCTTTTAGTTTTTATTGATTCAATTGATTCACGAGTTCAACTTAGGTTAGTTTAAAATTGATTTGGTACTATGATATAGTATCTGTGGGATCAACACTTTTCTCATCATTATACGCATATTTGACTAATGTACACTTGCCTGAATTAACTGTGTATAAATTACACAACAACAGGGACAGGGATGGGTTGCCTCGCCATGAACCCACCCCGTTGTCATTTCTATATAATTGTTAATTATTAGTAAAATTAATTAAAATGTTTACTTTTGTAATTATTTTTATTTATTTAAAGTTAATCAAAATTTCATTTAAAAATAATAACAATTATTAAAATTACTAAAATTATTAATAGAACCAAATTTATTAAAAATTATTTGTTCATATTAACTTAACAATGATTATTTTTTGTAAATCGATCAATATTAAATGAAAAATGCAATTATTAAAATTTTAGATATTAACAATAACTTTGAATACTTTTAGTTAATTAACAACAAATTTGGATTATTAATTTAATAATAATTAATAATAAATAAAATTATTAAATCTTTCAGATTTTCCCATGCATCGCACGGGTCTCCGCTAGTTTATATATAATAGCAACAAATGACATGCACTTGTTAACATTTCAATTAGATATTTGAATATATTTGTTATTTATGTAGGTATGCATGTTATTTAGACATTCTAATTGGGTTAAGTCCAATAGAATGGCCCAAACCATATTTTAATACTGGACCATACCATAATAGAATGGTTTGGTCTGATTTGGTTCGAGATCTTCTCCAAACTGTATTAAAAACTGGTTTGGCTCGAGATCTTGGAACTGAACCAAATTGGACTATGAAAACCCCTAGTTAATATGCCATTGAATAGGCAAACAATTTCATTTTTTGGGTTGATTTAAATACGATTGACAGAAGATATTAGAGATTTGCCTAAAATTTTCTATAATTTTTATTTATTTATTTTTTGTTATTTAATATGACATCATGGGTTATGGTTTGACCCATTTAACCCGGATAGCTAGGTGAATTTCTTACCTGCCATATCTGGATGGAAGAACAATTTTTTTTGTTTGTATGTCAGTTTTAAAAAATAAGAATTTTATATTACTAAAAGTATTGGATTTAGATATAATTAATAGAATTTATTGGTAAGAAAAACTATCTTAAATATAGGACTATTCCACTCGATAAAAAGACGAGAATTAATATAAGAGTTAAGGAGAGAGAATTGAATGATTTACGGACCACAAAAAGCCGTATAAAAGACCATTCAGCCGCACATTTGAAAGATCTCTTACACTTTTTGTTTTCATTGATGGGAAGATATTCTCAATGTATTGTTGCGATGTATTATGCACAGCCGCACAGGATGTGGTCCAAGCATATACTTGCCCGGCAATGCAGGCATAGAGGGATTTGGTGAGATGGGCTCTGACGGTGCAAGTACAAGAGAAAAAAGAAGGTTTAACTTAGAAATGCCTTATGCATCGGGAAACAGGTATTATTACAAGGAAGGATAGCAGAACGTGTGGTTAGTAGGTGATCCGGACTATTGGACCAGGCAATTAATGCGTAGAACTAGAAATAGAATGATACATGTTTTCTAATCCGCCCCATAATAAAAAAAAAAAAAAAAGTTAACCAAMCCAGCCATACATAAGATGGATTCGGGAAATTAATTAACAGATCGAGGCCTGAAACCCAAAGTACAGCATTATTACCATATGTTTATTTTCATGGAATTTCAATGTACATGAAGCAGAACAAACATGAAAACGCAGTAATATAATAAGTCAAGTCCAAATGTTGGGTTTTATGAATCAAGAATTGTTCAACATCAACACCTAGAGCCCAAAATCTATTCTGATCTTTTGGATCGAGGATGTATGTGGATCTGCTACAGATAATCATACTTCTGTATGCTATATCAGTGTGTGACAGGTGTATATTGTGTATTTTTTTTTAAAAAATATGGACAGGTCCATTGCAGATTTCTAAATTTAACTACAGACCTATAAACATTTAAAATGTCAAATACCCCCATTCTATACACCAATGTCCATCCATGAATTGGCATCAATTCCAAACTAATACCTATTCAATTCTGACTTTGGGCTGAACCGTCATTCTCCCTATTAATTTCTTTTAACGATAGGTGTATATTATGTATATAAAGGCCCCTAAAGTTCACAGGAATAGGGGTTTGGAATGAGCCATTTTGATTTTAACTATTTGGTTGAGTGGAATATAATCGGAATTCTATTTTTGTATTTTCTTATTTGATGGAATGGCCATTCCCTCTTTTTTGGGAATCAAATCCCATTCCAACTGATTTCTATTTTTATTCCATTTTTTGGCTGAACCAAACAGACCTTGAAAATAGCCCATTCCAATTTCGATTATGAGGTATTTTGATTCCAATTCTAATTCTGGTTCCAACTGTGGTCCATATAAGGGGGCTGGGACAACTACAAAATCATTAAATTAAAACACCAGTGGGCCTATGGGGCCTTAAAGAGTTTTTGGTTGCATCTCTTACGGTCTAGAGCGAAGCAAGACAAACCCCCAAATCCGACGGTTAGAAAGGAAGAAGAGACATTTGATAAGGTCCAGGAGAGCTAGGCCATGCATCAACCACTATATTTTTACGTGGCTATAAACGGTTAGTTGGCAAGCCTGGAGAAATCCCATCACACATCAATAAAATCCTACTCTCGTCTCACTCCATTCATGGCCTAAATTATTCTGTTCGACACCCTCACATGGCTGATGTTTTCAAAGAGAAAGAGGCGCAGAGTCTATCTCTTTCCTTTGTTTCAGATACACTACCATCTATAAATACCAGCATTCTATCCTTTCTCTCTGTGTATTGAATTGAGTTGAGTTTATCCGTAGCAAATGGCTCTCATGGGTTCTTCCAAGGTAGCTGCCCTTCTCATCCTGCTTAACCTAGTCTTCTTCTTCACTTGTGTGGCATCTCATTCTCACAAGCCTCCATCTCCATGCCCTCCTAAGCCCGCTAATTGCCCAAAAGACACCCTTAAGCTGGGCATATGTGCCAATGTTCTAGGGTTGGTTAACGTACTCGTGGGCACCCCACCCTACAAGCCATGCTGTGCTTTGTTGACAGAACTCACTGATCTTGAAGCCGCACTCTGCCTCTGCACAGCTATCAAGGCCAATGTCTTGGGCGTTGTCAAGCTTGAACTACCCATCGCTCTCAGTTTGGTTGTAAATACATGTGGAAAAAAGGTGCCGGAGGGCTTCCAATGTGCCTAGATTGAGCCCAGATTTTCTATAAACTTTTCCTACCCACTCTCTATCTGCTGTGAATTGGAGCCATACATCTCTATTCCCGAATGGTCTAGATTATATATTTATTCTCTACTTGCATGTCTTTAATTTATTGTTCTGTCATATCGTGTTTGTAGTTATTCTTCGTGTAGTAAATGTACGTATCAATACATGCACTTGTTTCCTTTCAAGCATTTGTACTTGGAAGGAGGAATGTGCAGGGTTGTGTTGTTCTCTCTTCACTTGTAGTATTCATTTTCATCATATAATTGCAATGCTATTTCATTTATACTGTATGGTGCGTAAGTATGGGAGTGCAAATGAATTAAATGGAAGTTCTAAATTATTTTTGTTTTTGTTTGTTTGCAATGTAAATAAAATAAAATAAAACCCATTGCAAGCAAGAGTGAACCAGAATTTAATTACACTCTTCTAATTTGCACTTGTTTGCATTTGTACTAGTGCAAATTAGAGGCATGCTTCTATCTTCATTTGGTATGCAATTCTTAAATAACATTCGTTATTCCTTTCTTGCTCTTTCCCACAACCATGGGGCTTTCTGGGTTCAAGTTCAACTGCAATCAAGTCTCCACCTCCACCAGGGAACATTAATTGAGGGATCACATACACCAACACAACAAGTTCTAGCTGGAGACTATTAACTTCTCCATAAGCACGTCAAATGGGGCCATAGGCCTGAGGGATTTGGAGACCAATCAAAAGAAAATAAAGAAAAAGACAGATGACTGGGGTTGGATGCAAAAATTCTTTCTCCATAAACCTTTAATTTCTATAGAAAGCGCCTATTCTCGAGAAATGCACCTTTGTCCAATCTATTTTATATACTTAAACGCAGTTGTCCAAATCAGTTTATCCTCTTCCCTCGTATTATTTCCAAAAACCCTTGGTTTAGAATTTTATGCTTCTTTTGAACTTTTAAAAGATAAAAAAATCAAAACATGAGGTTAATTAAAATTGCTCACAACAAATTGAATTTTCTTCCGGGAAAAACCCTATGCTGCCGGAAATACATGAAACCAGAAGAGCTTTGACAAATCAAAACCCTCTCATGGATTTGAGTACATACCACACCTGATTGGTTACACTTTTATGATATCGGTTGATTGGTTAAGAATTTTTCTGCTTTCATGTCTTTTCCGTATCATAATCAAACCTTTATTTATGAAACTAATATGTTTAATTACTCTCCTATAAAACATGGATATCTTTTAACACTAGCCTATACCCTACCCCATATAGTTTGAATAAGGCTTGGATGATGATGACTAGGAGTGCAATCAAGCCAAGTCAAGCCGATCTTCAGGATGCATTGGTTTGGTTTGACTAAAGTATTCCTATATTTGAATTCTATTTTTTATTCAAGTTCAGCCACAAAGTTCAAAAAGCTATGAGGCTGTTTGGCAAGTCTTTTTAGGAAGATCTTTTGGAAATTTTGACAAGAGGGACAATGAATTTTTGCATGAAGATCTTAGCAGCCTGAAGCTAGTTTGGCTATCACACGTTTTTTGTGCATATTTCTGTGTGAAAATAAAGTGAGAACAACGCGAAAAGTTCCAACTTCCCGAGATCAGTCCAAAATGGACTTCTCGCGTCTTTTCAATACACCGACAATTGGCGATTAGATCTGTTACAAACCAAATGGAAAAAGACCGCATCGCAGTCTGTCCAACTTATAAACAACCAAAAAAACCACACAGAAAGATACACCTATATATATTTGTGTGTTTTCATACAATATCAAGTGTATCGACGATTTATGATAGTGAGTCCACTCCTCAGGCCCATGCACCGGCCCACACACCAGCCATCTAAGCAAAACCTCATCCATACACCAGCTAACCCAGATAGGCCTCATCTTCTGTAACTAATCAAGATAAGCCAAAAGTGCTAACCAATCTGATCTCCACCTATACTTATCCTTGTACATGATAACCATATCAATATAGCTATAAATACAACCAATGATCACCCTGTGTTGTGAGTGATCTTTTTGTTCAAGATCAACTTTCTACTCACTTCTTTATGGAATCAGAGCCATAGCAAAACTGCATCTTCATTATGTCAGCTTCAACATCAACTTCCCAGACTGACACCAGTTCATTCCCAACATCTTCATTGGTGATACCAAATATCTTCAATCTTGTGCCCATAAGGCATGACAACACAAATTATCTCCTGTGGAAATCATTGTTCGAGCCCATTCTCAGAGGACATAGGCTTATGTCTTTCATCGATGGATCCAAATCAGCTCCAAGTACTAGTGATCCAATGTTCGAAACCTGGTACGAACATGACCAGATGCTTCTCTCTTGGATTCAGGCCACTCTATCCACATTGACTCTGCTTTACATGGTTGGCATAAAGTCATCCAAGGAAGCGTGGGATATTCTGGAATGTCGCTATGCCTCATCCACCCCCATGCACATCACTTCCCTTCGCAAGCAACTTCATCGTCTGAAAAAAGGATCTCTCACCATGCATGACTACTTTCAGCAAGTTAAATCTATCAGTGATCAACTCGCGGGATGTGGTGCACCCATATCTGATGATGAATTACAAATCTATATTTTGGATGGATTGCCATCATTATATCATCCTTTTGCCTCCATAATTCATGGTTGTGCTCGGATTATAACAGTCACACTAGAAGAACTTCACGATCTACTCATCTGCGAAGAGATGTCTCTTGTAGAAGATGCTTCTACAAAGAACTCCCATGCCCTTGTTGCAGCCAAGACACGACAACAACATTCTCACCATCCCAACTCTTCAAATCGCCAGTACACTCCACAACATGATTCCAAATGGCAGCAGCAAAATGCAGCCACCCCACGGCCTTCACAATCAAATCAAGGGCGCCACCAGTCCAATTCATCTTAGTGTCCAACCAATATCGGCTCTAGACTAACTTGCCAAATTTGTAACAAAGTTGGACCAATAGCTATTGACTGTTTCTAGATGCTGAATATCACCTATCAAGGCAGGCATCCACCAGAAAAATTAGTCGCCATGGCAACAACTTCTCGTGATCCTCTTGATGAAGGCACATGGTACTCCAATACCGGAGCCTCTCACCACATCCCTCCAGATCTTGGTAAGGTTTCTAACCCGCTCCCTTATGCTGGTTCCAACTTGGTCACGGTGGGTAACGGACATGGCTTAGACATCAAACACACCGGCACCTCCACCCTAACCTATCCATCTTTTACCTTTCATCTGAATCATGTTCTTCACTGTCCCGATTCCTCCTCTAACCTGCTATCAGTTTACCAATTTTCAAAAGATAATAATTACAAGTTTGTTTTTGATGCTTCTGGCTTTGTTGTACAGGACAAGAAGACCGGGAGGATCCTGCACCAAGGACCGACTGAAGGACTCTACCCCTTTCATCCCACAGTAACAACCGGCAATCCCATAGCTCTCACTGCCTGCAGCCCCACTAAAACCATCTGGCACCATCATCTAGGCCATCCCTCCCGTGACATTATGTCAGTAATTTTTCACAATTATCTCTCAAGAATAAAGACAATAACATAGTGTGTTCGTCTTGTCAACTTGGCAAAAGCTGCTGACTCCCCTTTTCTTACTGTCCATCTCCATTACAACAAACTATTAGAACTTCTACATTGTGATTTATGGGGACCAGCCCCGGTTTTGTCTATTTCTAAGTTTAAATACTACGCTTTATTTGTTGATGATTACACTCGCTACTTCTAGCTCTTTCCGTTGCAATTAAAATCAGCTTTTTATGACATTTTTGTATCCTTCAAAGCCAAAATCGAAAATCTCCTTGATTCCAATATCAAAGTACTGCGACCTAATGGGGGGTGAATTCTCTAGAACAAAATTCTCTTCCTTTCTTAATGTTCATGGCATTACACACCAGTTTTCTTGCCCTCATACACCCGAATAAAATGGTGTGGTTGAGCGTAAACATCACCACATTGTCGAAACGGGTCTCACCTTTCTCGCTCATGCTTCATTACCTTCCTACTTTTGGCTTGAAGCCTTCACCACTGCTCTTTATCTCATCAACCGCATGCCGCTTTTAGCTTCTTGCTGACAGTCCCCATTCGAACGGTTGTTTCGCTCCCATCCAGATTACACACATCTCAAGTCGTTCGGCTGTCTTTACTTCCCTTGGCTACGACCCTATTCCACACACAAGTTTTACCATCATTATACCAGTTCCATTTTCTTGGGATAAAGCCCCTCCCATAAGGGCTATAGGTGCATGCACATCACAAATGGGCGAGTCTACATCTCTCGCCATGTTGTCTTTGACGAATACACATTCCTCTCTCTCCCTTCAACCCAAACCACCACACCATCAGAACCTCAGTCACCCACTAGTTCTACATGGATATTAAACTCTTATGGGCCTACTGATGTTGTCTGGACCACACAAAAATCCCGCTCCCCCAACCACCCGTCCTCCAGGTCCTCCATGGTGCAGACTCCTTCTAGTCCGCCATCTCACACAGAAGCACTCAACCCCGTCGCTAATAAGTCTCCAAGGCCCAATAGTCCAGTCCACTCCCCTTTTCTAACCATGGGCTCATTTCCTACCTCACCTGAACCCTCAACTACAGCTCATTCTCAACCACCATCAAACCTTACACCCACTGGCCCACCACCACCTACTAAGTTCATAACACCTCAACGCACTCATCCCATGGTCACCCTTTCCCAATCTAGGATCTTTAAACCCAAGGTGTACAACACCAAATACCCCCTTCTAGCATCTCTTACAGCCTCCCACCTTGCCGAACTGACCTCTTACAGCCAAGCGTCCAAACACCCTGACTGGTGCACCACCATGGACCAAGAATTTCATTCACTTTGGGAGCAAAAGACTTGGTCGTTGGTTCCCTACCAACCTGGAATGAATGTGGTAGGCTGCAAATGGGTGTACCGTATCAAGCGTAACTCCGATGGATCAATACAACGCTTCAAAGCCCGCTTGGTCGCCAAGGGTTTCCACTAATAGTCGGGCATTGATTTCATTGAAACCTTCAGTTCTATAGTGAAGCACACCACTATTCGCGTTGTACTCTCATTAGCAGTACCTTGGGCTGACCACTGCGCCAACTAGATGTTGAATGTGCATTCTTGCACGATGACCTTCACAAAGAAGTGTATATGGATCAACCGCCAGACTACGTAGACCCCACTCATTTTGATTATGTTTATTGTATGCACAAATCTATCTATGGGCTTTGCCAAGCCCCGCAGGCTTGGTATGACAAGTTCAAGTCCATCATAGCCGAACTAGGCTTTCACACCTCCACCTCTGATCCATCTTTGTTCAAGTCCATCATAGCCGAACTAGGCTTTCACACCTCCACCTCTGATCCATCTTTGTTCATTTAACGGGCAAGAAACCATCTTTCCTTACTTCTCTCATCAAACAACTCAACACATTTGTCAAAATGAAAGACCTCAGCCCGTTGTCATACTTTCTTGGCATTTAGGTACACCACACCAGTGATGGATTATCCCTTCATCAGTCCAAGTACATTCTCGACTTGCTTGATCATGCAGATATGGGTGGCTACAAACTTGCTCGCACATCGACGTCATCTACCAAAATTGATGCCTCCTCGAGCCCACCGTTGAAGGATCCAACAATCTACAAAGTCTAGTTGGGGCACTCCAATATGTCACTCTCACCTGACCTGACATCGCCTTCCCAGTCAATCAAGCTTGCCAACATCTCCAACAACCCACTGAAGCACACCTGAGCACAATGAAACGAATTATGAGATATCTCAAAGGCACCATCTCCTCCAAGCTCTTCTTCACTCCAGGCCCAATTCAACTGAGTGTCTGTTGTGATGTTGACTGGGCCGGCTATCCACTGGATCGCAGGTCCACCAATGAGTTTTGTGTGTTTCTTGGGCCCAATCCAATTTCCTGGTGTGCTAGGAAACAACCCACAGTTGTTCGTTCCTCCTCAGAAGTCGAATATCGCTGCCTTGCTCACACTGCTATGGAAATCTCCTAGCTGTGCTCTCTGTTCAAAGAACTTCATGTTCCTATTCTCATCACTCGGGTCATCTGGTGTGACAACATGTCAGCTATTGCTCTCACCTCCAATCCGGTTTTTCACGCTCACTCGTAAGTCATTTCTCGTAAGAATAGATCGAATTTAGCATATATCCATGCACTTCTCTATTTGCATTTCCATTTGTGGCTGCATTTGGTTGCATGTAAAATGAAGGGAAACGAATGATTCCTTGAAAAACCAAATTCAATGGAAAAATAAATTATATTTAGCATATATCCGTGCACTTCTCTATTTGCATTTCCATTTGTGGCTGCATTTGGTTGCATGTAAAATGAAGGGAAACGAATGATTCCTTGAAAAACCAAATTCAATGGAAAAATAAATTATATTTAGCATATATCCGTGCACTTCTCTATTTGCATTTCCATTTATGGCTGCATTTGAAGGGAAATGAATGATTTCCTTGAAAAATCAAATTCAATATTATAGAAAAACAAATTATACTTCTAATTTTTCTGGTGCCGCTTAACTTGAAGAACAGATGCGAGTAAAGGACAGATATACAAGCTCTTCACGATTATGTAAGTCGAGAAGATAAACTTTTTTTTTCAGAAAAGGACATTGGAAAAATTAAAAGAAATGTCATTTTCCTAAAATGAGTACCCACTTTTTGGAAAATGTTAATTCTACAACAATTTTGCATGCAGCCAAAAGGAACAACTTATCTCTTCACTTTTCCTACACATTTCTATATTATTTCTTATATATATATATAAATATACTTTTTCATCTATATAGTGAAATTTTTAGGACCATTAGTTATTGATGTTTACATTTCCTTGCTACACGAGTCCTTTACACCCTTGTAATTCTAGAGTCATCTTCTTGAACATGATAAAGTATTTTTCCTTTGGCCTTTCCCTTGTCTATTTGAGCTTCCAAATTGCATGCACCTAGTTACTTCCATGATTTTAGCTATGGCCTTTCATAGATTCATGTATCTGGCCATGCCAACTTGATCAAGGGATAGGCCGATGGGGATACAGCTTACTATTTTCAAGATTGTGAAGTAAACATTTCGTGGAAAGTTTGGCCAAAACATATCAACATCCAATTCGAGTTTGACAATTATTAAAATGCATTATATTTTCATTGCAGAGAACTAGGGTTCCCATGGGCCAGAGCTGGAGACATGGGCTTTCTGGGCGGGCCCTAGACCCAAAACCTAGGCCATGCCCAGAATACTTCAGGCTAGATGGACTGCACTAGCAATGATCATCACCAAGAGAATCAAAGGTTGTAAATTAATTCTCTTATCAAATATATATCTATATATAAAGGAAATTCTATAATCAAGTGGCTAGTAGTGGCGAATGTAGAGGGCAAATTTCAATGAAGGTGTGGTCCAGGGGTCAGTTTGCATCGGCAACTACTATCCTGCGGTTGTGAATTCTAAGTAGGTAGGTCTCGCATGCATCCTTAACCCCACTATCCACTTAACCACACACGCACAAAAAAAAAAAAAAATTGTAGGAGAATAAGAAGTTTATCATATTTAGTTTGAACCAATACTGTGAAACAGGTTTAATTTGGATATGCCAATCTTATCTCTCTAATGGGTTTTTACTGCTTAGTTTAATTAAACATCAGACATAAGATTTATTAATGCAACTTCTGATTCAAACTAAAATCAGTCCTCAAGTTGAAGCTGTCAGAGAGCTTCAAATATTCCCAAAATTGTAAAATAATTATGATTTAGCATGTGGAACCGAGCAAATCTGCTAGTCAAAATGGAGACCAGAGAACAGATCCACTTCAATTCCATGCCAATTTTGAATCTGTGGTATATATGTAACTATTCCATTAAGCTAATTAACCAGTGCAAACCCAATATCATGAAATGATTTGAAGAATATAATAACATGTGTTTGCATATTAGCACATGCATAACCTGTACAGAGAGATTGTAGACCATTGGTTTCTTCTAATATATATATAGTTTCTAATAAAGTTGAACCAGAAGTGCATGTCGTAAGTTATATTATACCCATGATGATGTCTTTATAAATATATATTACCCAAACTTTGACTACATCTGGTGTCCAGTTCCCTGCAGGTTTATTTGCAACCAATTGGCCCTCGTTACATTTCTTATTGTTTGTTTAATACTGAAAGCAAGAGACGATGGACATATATAATTAGTTAGGTTTTTTGATTTAATACTGAATTATCTTTTACAAATTGTTGTTGATCACAAGTGACAAGGGCAGCTGAGGTGACATTGATAAAATAATTCCGCACATGCATGGCGAGGGATAGTTGGTTCTGCACCAATCAGGATATCACCTACATCCCAACAAAAATCACGAGATGCGAGATGTTTAGACTGCTGATCATTTGGTTTTTTCTGATTCTAATTCTGTCTTTTTTTTTTTCTCCTGTTCCAACTCCAAAAGTTTTGTTTGATGAGGTGGGCCATCAAACCGAATGGTTATAGAGCGATTGGACCCTACAACCGTAGCAACACTAAAAGTGCCTAAAATTCACTTCGAGTCTCCTATCCACAAAACTCTTCTTATATCTTAACCCACAAAACACAGCATGGCTGTGTGTTGGGAACATCTCCCATGAGTGATAAGGGGAGATATTTTCAATGTGCGACTGTAATGTTTTGTAGGTAGGGATGTTCCCAATATAAGACAGTAGTGTTTTGTGGGTATGGATGTGATAAGAATTTGTGGGTAGGAGATCCAAGTCCTAAAAACTGAGTCATTTTAATAGTAGATAAATTAGGAATTATATTAGTGTAATCATGTTAGAGAATATCAATCTATTTAAGTACCTCACCTAACAGCTTAAGCTTTTATGTTGAATTGTTCTTTGAGATGATATCAGAGCCACTTTGACCAAGTGGTTTAGTGTTCGATTCTCATTACCTCCATTATATAATTAATTAAGTTTCAGAACAAGGTATGGGCGGGCCTGTGATTGTTCACACTTCAAACTCAATGGGCTTTTGTGTGAGAGAAGGTGTTAGAGAATATCAACCTATTCAAAGACCTCACCTAACAGCTTAAACTTTTAAGTTGAATGATTCTTTGAAAAATCAAATAAGGTGACATGGGATTATCAGTGGGTCAAGTAGATTTGACAAAACTGAACCAAACCAGTCCAATTTTGTAAGGTGTGAGTCTACAATTCTATATTGCACCTCCAAATAATAATTCGAGGATATACCCACTTTAAAATCTTTTTTTTTTCTATATACACTTGTGATATTATGATACTATGATATATAAAAGTAATTCAACAAATTAAGAGGTTTATTGCCAGATCACATGTTGAAAGTTTAGCTGTCAATTATATACAGATTTATGGGGTCAAACTTAATAATCCCATATGGGTTCAGGTTTTATTGAGGATCTGCTTGGCAACTGATTCTGCATACATTGATTTATCAGGTAGGAACCGGGTCTATCCTGATTGAACCAGATCCAACCCATTCACATCGCCAGTTTAACAACAACATGAGGTGTCACATTCTTATTGTTATAATCTTTTTTTTTAAATAATTTTTTGAAGCCATTTTAATTGTAAAAATGAAACACAAAAACCTAATAAGCACATATATGATTTTCATAAAATATTACAGATTTAAACCCTGACACAAGGAATCAGGGTTTAGAAATGTATTATATAAGGTTTTGCACTATAGATTTGTATTTGCGCCCTTCCCAAACTGAGCCTTATTATTTGTTGTTGTTGTTTAAATGCCTAAGATGACCAATAGTTTTCTCAAAAATTGAACCGAGGAAAGCCAAACAAAATACAAGCCAAAACTATAATAAATCAATAAATGTAATTAAGATAAGACTGAGTAGTATCTATTGGATTAAGATAAGAGTTTGTATTAGACAAGGGTTGAGAGTTTTATCTTCTATAGATTTGATGGAACTAACATATTTCATTAATGCATTATATTTTAGCCATACTTTGATATTTTTTTCTTCCATTTTATTCTTAATGGACGTTGATGTAACCGTTTCTGGTCATGTACCAATTTTTTTCTTTGTGATGTACCAACTTTTTGGCTAAGTACCTCGTCATTTGACCTGCTCCCAGGTGGTCTGTGACTCAGAGGATGATGGAGCTCCCTGGTGGCGAATTGCCTGGTGATGAGCTACTTGGTGGCGAACTCCCTGGTGGTGAGTTACCTGGTAACGAGCTCCCTAGTGGAGAGCTACCTGGTGACGAGCTCCCTGGTGGTGAGCTACTTGGTGACGAGCTCCCTGGTGGAGAGCTACCTGGTGACGAGCTCCCTAGCGGAAAGCTACCTAGTGATGAGCTCCCTAGCGGAGAGCTACTTGGCTTCCCTTTGCATGAGGTGATCTCCTCTCCTTTGCCGGTGGCAGGAGATGAGGGACCTGTGAGAACTGAATCAGAGGACCCGAGGGTATTTTCTTGGCGGGGACTCTCCGATGCCTAAGTTAGCATTCTGATTGTAGGGAGCTTGGAGAGAAATGAGAGAGCTAGAGAGCAAGGATTACCTCCATTTTTTCATTCTCTCCCCCTTGTCTTTGGGGGTCGGAGTCCTTATATAGTGGTGTCCTGTCAAGTCAGGCGTAACAGCCTCTGTCAAGTCAGGCGTAACTGCCTCTGTCTCTCTGTCGCAGCCGTTACTGCCAGAGTTGAGGTGGCGGGTGCAGGCGACTGCTGCAGAGTACGGCTCTGCCAATCAAGGGATAGCTCTCAGCACTGGCAGGCACGGCGCCGCCTAGCGAGAGACGTGGGCGCAGGCCTCCGGATCTGTTAGGTACAGTTGTCAGGTAGGAGATCTTCCTGCGATATGCTGAGCTGCCCCTAAGTGTTGAACTACCTATGCCGAGCTACCTGTAAGTACCGAGCTGCCCCTAAGTGGCGAGCTCTTCGTAAGACGCCAGGCTGCCTGCGGAGTGGCCAGCTGCCTGTGACGAGCTACCTATGCTGAGCTACCTATGGCGAGCTGCCTATGCCGAGCTACCTGTAAGTGCTGAGCTACCCCTAAGTGGCGAGCTCTTCGTAAGACGCCAGGCTGCCTACGGAGTGGCCAGCTGCCTGTGGCGAGCTGCCTATGCCGAGCTGCCCCTAGCTATACCGAGCTCCCCGAACTATGCCGAGCTGCCCAGTTGTCAAGAGGCTGCACTTAGCCCATTTTTATATTGCAATAACCAAGCCCATGGTATTGGTAATAGTTTGTCAATCGCATCAAGATCATTGATCATGTGTTTGAGGGGGTGTATTTAGAAAATATCATAATCAGATAAGATTAGGTGATTAAATAAGATGTGATATGATAATCGAACCCTTGTAAGAGAGAATTTGTGTGTGTATGTGTTTTATTTTTTGAAAAAGCCCGAATGCAAAATTCATTAATCACCCTTTAACATCTAATTAATTTTCATTAATTCATTCTCTTTTAGCCTTTTACCGATATTTTTTAGTAAAATTCGAGTGGTTTCGCAGTCAACATTAGAGATGCCCCAACTGTCCAAGAAGTTGGTTTGGAAATTATATAAAATAGACGAGCCGTATTGCAAAAAGAGCCATTTTCTCATAGAAGTTCTGACCCAGTACAACAGAATAACGCAGACATGATGAATGCAAACAACATTAAAGAAGAAGAAGAATAACGTAACACAACATATGAAGCAACCTCTGCCGCTGCCTCTGCCGGAGAAATGGAATCGCTTAACTAAGCACATTGGAAGCCAGACGGGAGCTTCTTGCCACAGGTGTTGACGAGTAAGCTGAGTGAAACGGGGATGTTGAGGTTGATACCAAGAATGTTAGCTTTGATGGCGGTGCAGAGGCAGGCTGCAACCTCCAGGTCGACGAGCCCTTCGAGCAGTGTGCAGCATGGGTGGTCTGGTGGGTTCCCAACTTCCGCTCCAACTGCCCCATTAAGTAACTTTGCACATACACCTAGTTTCAAGGCATCCCTGGGGCAGCTACCCTTGGAAGCTGGAGTCGTCGGAGTAGTCGGTGTAGGCTTCGGGTTGTAACAAGTGCCACAGCCACTGACTACGGCAAAGAATAAGAGATTGAGAGAAAGGAACAGAGCAGCTGAAGAACAGCTCCTGGAATAAGCCATCTCTCAGTCTCACACCTACCTTGCTACTAGTTGTGGTAGTTGTTGCTTTTTATTATGACATGGAGGGATTAGGCACTACTCTATCTAGCTATTTATAGAGTGAAACGATCGATCGAGTACGCCGATCCATCGATAAACAAGAAGAAATTTAGTAAAACTAAAATATAAATCGGTGCATGCGCTTCCATGTGATGCAAGGCTGGCAAAAACAAACAATCATAATCCGATCTGGATCTTCGTAAGATGAGGAATTGAAAAATTCTTCGTATTCCCAGTCTCAATGAAATCTCCCGGCCCTGAGATTAGCCTGCTCATCACTCTTCTTCCTTCAATGCAATAAGATCCTTTTGGTTGGGTTACGTCTGATAACATCGTCGTCTCACTCTGACTGAGCACCATGTTTATTCGGTTTCTATTCGTATAAACACCATTTAATCAGTATAAAGCTGTAGGGCTTATCGGAGAATTAAGCTCTAGCTAATTTGTTATCTCAAGTAAATATTTTTTTTTTCAGTGAATAAGGATAAAGGAGCCCTGGTTGTTATGTTTTTGACAGATAGTCACAGATCCAATCCAACCTGTTTACTTAAATATGGGAAGAGTGTCACGGGCGGGCCACGAGATTCGACGACAAGCTAATTCGTTTTCTTGTTAATTTTCACAACACACAAATGAGGTACTTCCCCTAGCTACGGCCCCACGCCCGCACCCCGTTGCTGTCATTCTTTCAATCGATTGGAGCAATGAATAATATTGCCGACGTGAATGATATGGTCTATCTGGCCGGAAATGATTTGATACATCTTATTCTGATAAGATTTATTCTTTCATCGATAGTGATATTGTTCATTTGTTTGACGATTTGATGGATCAATTCTGTCTATTTTCTTATCAATATATAAAGGAACACTGATAGTGATGAATATCCCATTTGTTTAGTCCCCCAACAGTTAATTTTCCGGGATAAATGTTGCCATAAGCTCATTAATACGTCAGCATGGTTTTAAATAACGAGTCGGAAATGGAAACGAAATGGTTTTGGTCATTGGTTTCCGGCTGATAGTTTGATTGTCTAATTCAAATGGATGGCCCGTACGGGTTGACAGTTTAACTACCCGGGTCAATAGATTATTGATTGATTCAACGGTTTTTTGGCTAAGAACTGAGTGTAAAAATAAAACGAAATCGGTTGTCTGAACGATTCACAGATCAGATGGTCAGATAAACAATGATTAAAAACCATGAACGTCAGAATTGCTATACTACTCTATAAAATATATAACATCCACATGTTAAGAATCTCCAAACGTTCCATGGAGTAAAAGTATGGAATACAAGGGGCTAATCATATATCCTTAATTCCTTATCTAAATCATGAATAATGCTTTAATTATATTCTCCTCGCAATGTATCAGTTTATCCATGTAGCTAAGAGGTGGTTGCAGCTGGATCATATTGGTTAGCGCATGATGGGTGGAAATTGGAGACTCAGCTATATCCTCACTCCATTAATTAATGTAGGGTGAGTGCATGCAGTGTTCATCTGATCTCTTCAGTTTTTAATTGTTTTGTAATATCCATTTTCAAAGAAATAAGTCTAAAATTGTTTACTATATAACTAATAAAAGTGTAATTGTATTGCACATAGCGATATCAAATGATGATGATGATAATAATAAGTAATCAAATGACCTTATTGGTTGAACCATTATTTAACTAGAAAAATAGATTATGATTAAGACATTAATTAATTTTTTTATTTGTATTTTAGCCATTTCTAACTTTACTAACAATAATTCTTATTTTCAAAAATATTTTTGTTTGATATAAGAATATATAATATTAATGCATGTTCAATTTTTTCTATAAAATTTATAAAAAACTCTATATATTTTTATTTTTATTATTTAATTTATGATATAATAAAATTACTTATTTACCAAGAGGAAATACAATTCCAATATATTGTTTGAATATTAATTTTTTAATATTGTGGTCAAATCAATTATTTAAATATAGTATATATATTATTTATTTACAATGTATATGCTATTTATTATTTATTTATAAATATGTTATTTATATTGCATTTTTGTAAACTTTTTATATGATGGAAATAGTTGAAAAAATACTTATATTTTTTGTTTTTTTACTTCAATTGTTATATTTTTATTTTTCTTTTAATAATTTATTACTTTTAAAAAATTAAATCGGATCATATCAGATTCGAATATCCGACATCTTGATCGAATTTGGATTCGAATCAATATTTATAAGATTTAGTCGAATCTTTGGATCAAATGAGGTTTGAATATACCCTAATTCAAATATGATCTAATCTGTTTGCATCCCTACCAAACCACTTGCCTAAGATGACCTCGCTATTTAAATTATTGGACCATTTGACATAGTTAGTCGGGTCATGCGTTAGACATTAATGCTCTTTATCTTTTATTCTAATTTTTATACCATTTTTATCATTAATGAAATTAATTCTCATTAATCACACTTTTTTTATGATGAATATATAATGTTATAGAATGTACCCAAAATTATTGACAAATTTCTACACTTTTAGAATTTAATGTATTTTATTATTTAATAATAACATCCATTTAACATGGATAGTTTAACCAATAACCCACCACTTGGATAGAAAAGTCATTTTGCTTTTTTCGATTGATTTTAAATCATGTATTCCATTTTCATCGTCGATAAAGGTAATTCTTATTTTCACATTTTATATTTGTTTAATATGGTGAATATATAACAACAGAATTGTATCAAAATGATTTATACAAAGCTTATATTTTTCTTTGAGTTTATGTATGTATGTGTATATATGTATGTATGTATGTATGTATGAATGTATGTATGTATGTATGTGTATATATGTATGTATGTATGTATGTATGTATGTATGTATGTATGTATGTATGTGTATATATGTGTGTATGTATGTATGGATGGATATATATATATATATATGTATTTAATATTTGTTACTTAGTTATGACATCATAAATTGACCCACTTGACCTAGAATGTTAAATCATTGACCTACCTACCATCTAGATATGGAAATAGTTTCATTTTCAAACTGATTTTAAATTTTGCATTTCATTTATATCATTGATAAAATGATTATTATTTATCATTTATTTTTGTTTATATTATTAGTATATAATATTATAGATGTGCCCAAAATTATTTCATATTTTTTGTACTATGCTATTTTAAAAATTTTATTTTAATTATACATCATGGGTTAACATATTTGACCTAAAAGGTTGAATCACTAACCCACCCCCTAGATAAGAAGATGGTTTAATTTTTCATCGGTTTTAAGTTGTATATTTGATGTAAAATCATGTCTATTTTATCATAGTTGTTTTTAATATGACAAATATATAATAATAGAAACGTGTCTAATTTTTTTTATATTTTTTATATTTCTAAATTTTTATTATATTTTTATAACATCATGAAATTATCCATTTGACCCAAATGGTTGAAGTACTTACCCATGACCTAGATGGAAAATATGATTTCATTTCTAGGTTTATTTTAAAAATATAAATTTCATTCTATTAATAATTATTGTGTAGGATTTATTAGTGGAATTTAATGATGATAAAAAAGGTATTTTTTATATTTCTAAAATTGTATTACTTATTTATGATATCTTAAAATTATCCATTTGATTCAAATGGTTGAACTACTTACACACCACCTAGATGAAAAATATGAATTTATTTGTATGTTTATTTTAAAAATATAAAATTTCGTTCTATCAATAATTATTGCGTATGGATTTATTAGTGAAATTTAATGATGATAAATAAAAGTATAAATGTCGGATTCAATGAGAGAGAATGTGATTTATTTAATGACTTAAATGTGAAACTTAATGAGAGGTAATTGAATGCAATTAATGGTATTCTTTTAATTACATTTTCTACCATTTATATGGAGATAAACTAAATTCAAGAGGAAGGATATTTCAGTAAAGAAAAATTCCAGAAGCCAGTACTTCCTCATTTACACTTTTATAAGTAGTATAGATATAGATGACTGACTGAATTTTCCTTTCTTAATTAGGGAGTTTGAGTTTCTTCATATATACACTGTATGTTTTATATCAAACATTAGACCAATGATATACATAATTTTTTTTTCTAAAAAAAAATATTATCAGGAGATATTAAAAAAAATAAAATATTAGTTATCTATTAGTTATAAAAACATTGAACCAAGTTGGTTTCTCAAAATTTTATTAGATAATAGGAGTTACTTATTTATAATTATCAATTAAAAGAGGGCCGGCTAATTGTGCATGGATTCGTCCTTCTTATGGTATTAACTAGAGTTGAATACACATAAATAAAGTCGATGGATCATGAGTATGGGTGTCAGGTAAATTCTAATTAGCGATCCAATGGCAAAGTTAACTCTCTCATATGACCTCCTCAACGACGACTAAAAATCCTAAAGAAATCGATCGAGATCTTAAGACCCAGTCCATACATGATGGGAAATTGCAAGCTAAGCAAAGCTGAAGACATACATAAAGTTAATATCAATTATTAGAGCAAAGCACAAAGAAAAGAAATCCAAATAGATCTTTCATTCAGCTCTAACCTCAAAAACTGAAGTGCAGTGTACTTGTGGAGACAAATAGGGGGGCAGGTTGTACTCATGGTAGAGGAAAAGGTGGGAAGGGTAGGCTGCGGTCTGTCTCTGGTACAAGTCTGAGCTATATGTCGGGTGAGATGTGTTTCTTTTGTATTGCCCTTCCTGTTGATGGGTCTGGGTCTAGGGCTGCACTAGACTAGACTAGCTACACTAGCTCCATCGCATGCCACAAGCCTTGGTTCTCAAGTCTGGCTTAGTGTCTTATTATTATAATTTATACATTGTTTGGTTTGGCCGTGTGTATGCACATTTTGTATTCTTTCATTTCTCATTTCCTTAATAAATTAAATTTATGCCTTACTTTTTCTAAAATAAAAATAAAAATTGAGATACACTGTAAACAAATCAAAGTAATCCCAAATTTAGCATAAGATATTTAATTGTTTGAATTATCTGCAATATATGGCCCCGTTTGGCACGTTTTTCCGTATGGTCTATCAATTATTTAGAAGCCTGACAAATCAGGTTGTCGTCATTTTCTGTTTGGTTCGCAAGAGATCTAAAGACATTGCACTGAAAAGACACGCGAAGCCCGTTTTAGGAAGCCTTTTGGTTTTCTTCAACTCTCTTTATGCAGAAAGACACGCTTTAATCAAATGGTATTCAGGCTATCAGATCTTGATGCAAAAGCTCACTAGGGGCCGTTTGTCAAATCCTTTTGAGAAAATCTTCTAGTAGTTCTG